GCGAGTGCATGCGATAGTTGCGGCAGCTCCTGCACTTCCCTCTCCTGTTTCGTCCTCTCACCGTTTCCCTTCCCTCTTCCCCCATCCCCGTCCCCCTTCCCCCCTTACAGAGGCCTCGTGGGCAATAACGGCCGTGACAGCCGTGGAAATGGCATACGCGATAGTAGCTCCCGCGTATCCCAATCTGCCGCCCGCAGCGCGCGTGTCGGTGCAGCAGGTGGTGGACTGCGAGCCCAGCAACAGCAGCTGCAGCGGCGGCGGGTGGCCCACGTCAGCGCTGGACTACATGGTGGACGCGACTCAGGCGAATGGGGGCCTGGCGACTGAGGCTGCTTACCCGTACACGCAGAAGCAGGGCGTTTGCAACGCCACTAGGGTGAGAACGAAGTGTTTGTGGCTGTGATCGTGTTTGTGGCTGTGGCTGTGCTTGAGGCTGGCGGTGGCTGTGCGATGTGCACGTTGGTTGTGGCTATGGCCTCGGCTGTGGCTGCGACGGTTGCTGTGCAGTAGTGTGCGTCGTGATTGGATGCGCGGGGGGAGCAGGGAGCGTGCAACGCAGCTGGGGTGAGAGAGCGCGCCCAAGGCCATCGGGGTTACCCTGGACGACCCTCACACCCCTGGATTTGGAGTGTTGTTGACGTCACACACCCCTTCCTTCCCTCCTTCCCCTCCTTCCCACCTCTCCCATTCACCTGCATGTGTGCGTGGCAGGCAAAGAAGCTGCTGTGGAGGAGCGCGCGCCCAAGGCCATCGGGGATACCGGGTACGACCACGTGTCGACCCCACACACCCCTTCTTCCCCCTTTCCTTCTCTTTCCCACTGTCCGTTCCTCTATCTCTCTCCAGGCAAAGAAGCTACTTTTGAGGCGCCTCGAAAGCCTTCTCTCCCCCCCTGCCCGTTCCTCTCTCTCTCTCCAGGCAAAGAAGCTGCTGCGGAGGAGCGCGCCCAAGGCCATTGGGGATACTGGGTACGATCACGTGTTGTTGACCACACACACCCCTGTTTTCCCTCCTTCCCCTCCCTCGCGCCTCTCCCATTTCCCCTGACCTCACGCACAGGCAAAGAAGCTGCTGAGAGAGAGCGCGCCCAAGGCCGTCGGGGTGATTGGGTACGACCCGGTGGACTTCTTTGGCTGGCTGGGGCTCACGCTTGCTGTGCAGGTGACGGCGGGTTGGGAAGGGCGTTAGGGGTGAGCGGCGCGAAAGGTTGGGGAGAGAGGGGAAGGGAAACGAGTGATCGGGTATGACGTGGTGGACTCGTTTGGCTGGCTGGGGCTCACACTTGCCGTGCATGTGAGGGAGGGCGATGGCTGGGCTGTGGGACAGAGGGTGAGTGAGAGGACCAATGTGCGACAGAGGGTGAGAGGAGCAGTGTGTGACGGAGGGTGAGTGAGAGGATCACGTGCGACAGAGGGTGAGAGGATGAGAGGGAGGATGGATAGAAAGTTGTGGTCACCTTTGGAAATAAGCAACCATGTAACCTTTGCTTATGGTTGTGGTCTCTGCTCCATATTCCTGCCCCTACTCCTTGTTATTTAGTTACAACGCACCTTAACATTCTTCTTAATCCCCTGCCCGAATTTTACCCAATTTCTCTACCTCTCTTCCCAATGCAGACCCAACCCACCATTGCCTTGAAGTTTTGAGGCGTCTCAAAATTGAATTATACCCATTCTCTCCCTCTCTTCCCGATGCAGACCCAACCTACCATTGCCTTCGTGAGAGGCAGCCATCCCACCTTCCTATCCTACCGCAGGGTGAGTCAACGCCAGTCAATGCTAGTCAGCAGCACCATTTAATGCCAGTCAATGTCAGTCAAAGCTAGTCAACGCAGATCAACAATAATCAAGGCCAGTCAGCATCAGTCAATGCAACTCAATGCCAGTCATTGCTAGTCAGCACAAGTCAATGCTAGTTAATACAGGTCAGAGTATTTCTGAGCATCTAATGCAGTGCGTGGGAGTCAGGACACATCAGTAACGGGCAGGTGGGTTGCGCAGGCCTTACTTCCATCAAATGGTGCTAGTCAATACGCAAGTGCTGGATTAAGTTGACGTTTTGTTTAAACTGGCTCTCTAAGACAACGCCCTAAGCTCACGGTTAACCGGGAAATCCATCCATCCCATGGGGCTTGTCTCGTCGTTTTAAATAGCCATACAAGTTGATGGAAGTAAGACCTCCGCAGCCCACCTGTCTGCGTTCGACAACTCTAGCAGGTGGGTTGCGCAGGCCTGACTTCCATCAAATGCAGTGCGTGGGAGTCAGCTCGAGGCAATGCAGTGTGGGAGTCAACCATATAACCCAACGTACGAAACTTGCTGTCTTGCCTCTCTCTCAGGCCTCCCTCTCCTGCCCCACCCTTCCCTCAGGGCACGTACAACGACCGAGCGTGTGCGGAAGAGGTGGTGGATCACAGCGTGGTGGTGATGGTGGGGTATGAGCGCACTGCTCTGTGCTTACCCTTTCCCTTCTCCCTTCCCCACTTTCCTCCACCCTTCCCTCAGGGCACGTACAACGACCGAGCGTGTGCGGCAGGGGTGGTGGATCACAGCGAGGTGGTGGTGGGGTATGAGCTGGACGACTGTTATCTCACTTCCATCGCCTCTCCCCACTCTTCCACTCTCCTGCCTCCCTCTCTCTCCTGCCTCCCTCTCTCTCCTGCCTCCCTCTCTCTCCTGCCTCCCTCTCTCTCCTGACCCACCTGCCATCAGGGCACGTACAACGACCGAGCGTGTGCGGCGGGGGGGGTGGTGGATCACAGCGTGGTGGTGGTGGGGTATGAACTGGACGACTACTACACTCTGCCCTACTGGATCATCCGCAATTCCTGGGGCGACAAGTGGGGCGAGAAGGTTAGTGGGGCGATGGGATGGGATGGGATGGGATGGGATGGGATGGGATGGGACGGGTGTGATGGCCTGAAGTGGATCATGGGCTTGATTGACAGGGTGGAGGCGAGGAAAAGGGGGAGGGGAAGTGGGGGGAAGGGTGGTGGTGGTGGAGAACGGGTTGGGCATGGCTACATGCGCATGGCCATGGTGGGAGGGAGATGCTTGCTTCGTGTTGTGCTCTGTGATCCACCACCCATCCACCACCCATCCACCACCCATCCACCCCCCATCCACCACCCATCCACCACCCATCCACCACCCATGCACCACCCATGCACCACCCATGCACCACCCATGCACCACCCATCCATCACCCATCCACCACCCATCCACCACCCATCCACCACCCATCCACCACCCATCCACCACCCATCCACCACCCATCCACCACCCATCCACCACCCATCCACCACCCATCCACCACCCATCCACCACCCATCCACCACCCATCCACCACCCATCCACCACCCATCCACCACCCATCCACCACCCATCCACCACCCATCCACCACCCATCCACCACCCATCCACCACCCATCCACCACCCATCCACCACCCATCCACCACCCATCCACCACCCATCCACCACCCATCCACCACCCATCCACCACCCATCCACCACCCATCCACCACCCATCCACCACCCATCCACCACCCATCCACCACCCATCCACCACCCATCCACCACCCATCCACCACCCATCATCCACCACCCATCCACCACCCATCCACCACCCATCCACCACCCATCCACCACCCATCCACCACCCATTCACCACCCATCCACCACCCATCCACCACCCATCCCCTCCCCACCCCTCTCCCCACCCTCCTCCCCTCTCCGCGCTCCCTCTCGTGCAGGGCTGGCTACATGTGCAGCGCATGGCCATGGTGGGGGCATCTGGAATTGACTGTACCGCCTCACACACACGCACACTATCCATACCTTTCCGCACCGCCCCTCTTCCCTTCCCCTTCCCTTCCCCTTCCCTTCCCCTTCCCACTCCCCGTCCCCCGCCTCTCCCTTCCCGCAGGGCTACATGCGCATGGCGATGGTGGGAGGAATCGGCATATGTGGCATTCACTCAGTGCCGGCCATCTATCCCGTCATTAAGAGTGAGTTAGTTGGCCTACGTCTGTGTGCGCGCACACACAAACCCATGCACACACACATGGAAGCACATGCGTGCACGCGCGCACACACACACATACATGTGCACATGATCACATGTGCACACGCACACACATACAGACACACGTCTCATTTCCTTCTCTCTCCTCCACTCCTCCGCTTCTGCTCCCTGTCCCCCATCCCTCCCTCCCTCCCTCCTTCCCTCTCTCCCTCCCTCCCTCTCTCCCTCTCTCCCTCCCTCCCTCCCTCCCTCTCTCTCTCCCTCCCCCTCCCTCCCTCCCTCCCTCCCTCCCTCCCTCCCTCCCTCCCTCCCTCCCACCCTCCCTCCCTCCCTCCCTCCCTCCCTCCCTCCCTCCCTCCCTCCCTCCCTCCCTCCCTCCCTCCCTCCCTCCCTCCCTCCCTCCCTCCCTCCCTCCCTCTCGCGCACCTTTCTCGCCCACGCACCAACGGCAGCCCCATCGCCCTGCAACGATGGCATCAACCCATGCGGCTGGGGAGACTGTGCTGCCAACACTGACGGCTCCTCCCCGCCCTATGTGTGCTCCTGTGCGGACGGCTTTGTACCAGTCACCAACAACGACGGCACCCCCACGTGCGCTCTAGGTGAGTGTTGTTGCTGTGCTGCTGCTGCAGCATTTGGTCTGGCTGGCTGCTCTTTGCTCCCGCAGACTGCTGCTCTCCGCTGCTGCACCCCTCTGCTCCACCCTACATGTGCTCCTTTGCGGATGGCTTTTGTGCCGGTCACCAATAGCGACGGTACTCCCAACTGTGCTCTAGGTGAGTGTGCTGCTGCTGTTGATGTGGCTGCTCTTTGCCTCTACTGTGTGCTGCTGCTGTTGATGTGGCTGCTCTTTGTCTCTACTGTGTGCTGCTTTCTGCTGCCACACCCCTCGGCTCCACTCCACCCTACGTGTGCTCCTGTGCGGACGGCTTTGTGCCCGTCACCAATAGCAACGGCACTCCCACCTGTGCTCTAGATGGGTGGTTTCGCTGCTGTCTGTCGCCTTGTGCTGCTCTGTACCTTCGATCTTTCACGTGTGCTTCTGACGTGTGCTCCTGTGCTGACGTGTGCTCCTGTGCTGACGTGTGCTCCTGTGCTGACGTGTGCTCCTGTGCTGACGTGTGGTCCTAACCATTTACTCCCGTCCCCTTTGTCGGCTCCTTTCCCTTATTTCTCTCCAGACGTGTGCTCGTGGTTTGAGGGCCACAACCCCTGTGGAGTGGGCTTGTGTCTGAGCGATTGTTGTTCCGTATGCCCACTCAATCTCCTCCCTCCCTTCTCCCTGTTCCTCTTCTCTTCCCTCCTGACCCCTCTCCCTCACACCAGACGACGTGTGCTCGTGGTTTGAGGGCGGCAACCCCTGTGGAGTGGGCTCGTGTCTGAGCGACAGCGAGGGCGGCTACCTTTGTCTCTGCCCGCCGGGCTTCAAGCGCGGGCTTCGGGCGGGCGGCACTGAGCTCTGTGTGCCCAGTGAGTCGCTGCAGGCTTTAGGGCTTACCTGCTCCCCAGAGTAGAAACGATGTTCTCTGCAGTGAGCTCTGTGTGCCCAGTGAGTACGTGCCTGCAACCCGTGGAGCGTAAGCGTTCTCGCATGTGTTACCTTACCTTCGTCTCTGTCCGCCCGGCTTCAAGCGATGCCTACATGCGGGCGGGCGGCACTGAGCTGTGTGCCCAGTGAGTCGCTGCAGGGTGTTATAATGGGGTGCAAGTGTTGCAAGAATGGGGTTCTAATTAAGGGCCCTTGCTGCTCTGCTCCCGCTCTCTCCTCCCTGTGTCACCCCTCTCGTCCTCCCTTCCTCCCTCCCCTCGTCCATCCCTCAAGCTCCTGACCGCCCACCCATCATCTCCTACCCCATGGGCGTGCACTGCGAGCTCGTGTATCAGATTCCCTTACCCTCTCCCTCCCACCCCCCCCCACTCCCACGTTCTCCTCTCCCTCCCCTTCCGCCAGCCGCCGAGCTCCCCGCCCACCCATCGTCTCCCACTCCATGGACGTGCACGCGCACTGCAAGCTCGTGTATCAGGCTCACTCACGGTCTCCTCACCCATTCCCCCCATCTCCCCTCTCTCTCTTCCCCACACCAAGCCCAGCCGCCAAACCGCCCAACCAACATCTCCTGTTCAATGGACGTGCACTGCGAGCTGGTGTATCAAATCTCCTTACTTATTCCCACTCACACTTGCTCCCACATCCTACCCTTCCTCCCTCCTTTCCCTCTTCTCTCCCTGCAACCGCTGAGCGCCCCAGCAACATCTCATACCCCATGGACGTCCACTGCGAGCGCGTGTACCAGATCCACTTACCCTCTCCCTCCCAACCGCCCCTCACTCCCACGTTCTCCTCTCCCTCTCCTGTTCTTCAGCCGCGGAGCGCCCCAGCAACATCTCATACCCCATGGACGTGGACTGCGAGCTGGTGTATCAGATCTACGGGCTGGACGAGGAGCAGTTCCTCGCTCAGAACCCCGACCTGGTGAGCGCTGCTGGGCTGGACTCGGTGCTGGTGGGTTGGACTCGGTGCTGCTGGGTTGGACTCGGTGCTGTTTTAGTGATGAATGATCACTGCTGCCTGTTGCATAGACGCCTGTCCATCCATCCATCCATCCATCCATCCATCCATCCATCCATCCATCCATCCATCCATCCATCCATCCATCCATCCATCCATCCATCCATCCATCCATCCATCCATCCATCCATCCATCCATCCATCCATCCATCCATCCATCCATCCATCCATCCATCCATCCATCCATCCATCCATCCATCCATCCATCCATCCATCCATCCATCCATCCATCCATCCATCCATCCATCCATCCATCCATCCATCCATCCATCCATCCATCCATCCATCCATCCATCCATCCATCCATCCATCCATCCATCCATCCATCCATCCATCCATCCATCCATCCAGAACGAGGAGGGGTGGTGTGACACGGTTTGGGTAACACAGTGGTCAACTTCATGCGCCCTCATCTTTCCATGCGCTCATGTCTTTCCTTCCCACTGCTCGCCCTTCTCGCTCTGCCCTCGTTTTCTCTGCTCTCCATCCATCCATGTGTGCACTTCTTTCCAGGAGAACGGCGAGGGTTGGTGCGAAACGGTTTGGGCCAACGCAGTGTTCAACATCACTCTCTGCCCCTCTCTGCTGCCCATGCATGCACTCATCTCTCTCCTTCCCGTTGCTCTCCCTTCTCTCTCTTCCCCGCCTTTGCTCGCCATCCATCAATGTGTCATGTTCGCGTCCATCCATGTGTGCCCTTATATCTATCCAGGAGAACGATGAGGGCTGGTGTGACATGATTTGGGCCAACACAGTCGTCAATGTCACTCTGCCGCCCTCTGCAATCATCTGTGGCCTCTTCTATTCCTGGTCCTCTGTAAGTCTCTTCCTCCCCTTGCTCGTTTCAATTCAAACCCGATCCTCTGTAGCGCTCTGCTCCCCCTTGCCTGCTGTCATCTGCGGCCTCTTCTACCCCCGGTGGTCCTTCTTAAAAATAAGTCGCCATTTTTTAGGCGCCTGAAAAGTCGACCCCCGGTGGTCCTTCTTGAGTCCAATAATAATCAAGTCTCCTCCCCGGGTCCTCGAAAACAGAAACTGCCCAGTGAGTTGACTTTTGAGTCGACTCATTAGTGAGGCTCTCCCCCTTATCTCCCGCTCTCCACGCGTCGGTTTTGAGATAAGGGGGAGAGCGGGAGATAAGGGGGAGAGCGGGAGATAAGGGGGAGAGCGGGAGATAAGGGGGAGAGCGGGAGATAAGGGGGAGAGCAGGAGATAAGGGGGAGAGCGGGAGATAAGGGGGAGAGCGGGAGATAAGGGGGAGAGCGGGAGATAAGGGGGAGAGCGGGAGATAAGGGGGAGAGCCTCACTATTGAGGTTCTCCCGCTCTCAAAAGCACTCTTCTTCGTTGCACCCTCCCATGTTGGAGTTGCATTTGGAGTCGCTCCCTCCCTCTCCTCCTCTCCCTACTCCCATACTCGTCCTTTCCCCTCTCCTTGCTCTCCTGTTGTCATCCATTCGCCACTGCTTGCTCTCCTGTTTTCATCCCTTCCCCTCTGCTTGCTCTCCTGTTTTCATCCCTTCCCCTCTGCTTGCTCTCCTGTTGTCATCCATTCGCCACTGCTTGCTCTCCTGTTTTCATCCCTTCCCCTCTGCTTGCTCTACTGTTTTCATCCCTTCCCCTCTGCTTGCTCTCCTGTTTTCATCCCTTCCCCTCTGCTTGCTCTCCTGTTGTCATCCATTCGCCACTGCTTGCTCTCCTGTTTTCATCCCTTCCCCTCTGCTTGCTCTCCTGTTTTCATCCCTTCCCCTCTGCTTGCTCTCCTGTTGTCATCCATTCGCCACTGCTTGCTCTCCTGTTTTCATCCCTTCCCCTCTGCTTGCTCTCCTGTTTTCATCCCTTCCCCTCTGCTTGCTCTCCTGTTTTCATCCCTTCCCCTCTGCTTGCTCTCCTGTTGTCATCCATTCGCCACTGCTTGCTCTCCTGTTTTCATCCCTTCCCCTCTGCTTGCTCTACTGTTTTCATCCCTTCCCCTCTGCTTGCTCTCCTGTTTTCATCCCTTCCCCTCTGCTTGCTCTCCTGTTGTCATCCATTCGCCACTGCTTGCTCTCCTGTTTTCATCCCTTCCCCTCTGCTTGCTCTCCTGTTTTCATCCCTTCCCCTCTGCTTGCTCTCCTGTTGTCATCCATTCGCCACTGCTTGCTCTCCTGTTTTCATCCCTTCCCCTCTGCTTGCTCTCCTGTTTTCATCCCTTCCCCTCTGCTTGCTCTCCTGTTTTCATCCCTTCCCCTCTGCTTGCTCTCCTGTTGTCATCCATTCGCCACTGCTTGCTCTCCTGTTTTCATCCCTTCCCCTCTGCTTGCTCTACTGTTTTCATCCCTTCCCCTCTGCTTGCTCTCCTGTTTTCATCCCTTCCCCTCTGCTTGCTCTCCTGTTGTCATCCATTCGCCACTGCTTGCTCTCCTGTTTTCATCCCTTCCCCTCTGCTTGCTCTACTGTTTTCATCCCTTCCCCTCTGCTTGCTCTCCTGTTTTCATCCCTTCCCCTCTGCTTGCTCTCCTGTTGTCATCCATTCGCCACTGCTTGCTCTCCTGTTTTCATCCCTTCCCCTCTGCTTGCTCTCCTGTTTTCATCCCTTCCCCTCTGCTTGCTCTCCTGTTGTCATCCATTCGCCACTGCTTGCTCTCCTGTTTTCATCCCTTCCCCTCTGCTTGCTCTCCTGTTTTCATCCCTTCCCCTCTGCTTGCTCTCCTGTTTTCATCCCTTCCCCTCTGCTTGCTCTCCTGTTGTCATCCATTCGCCACTGCTTGCTCTCCTGTTTTCATCCCTTCCCCTCTGCTTGCTCTACTGTTTTCATCCCTTCCCCTCTGCTTGCTCTCCTGTTTTCATCCCTTCCCCTCTGCTTGCTCTCCTGTTGTCATCCATTCGCCACTGCTTGCTCTCCTGTTTTCATCCCTTCCCCTCTGCTTGCTCTCCTGTTTTCATCCCTTCCCCTCTGCTTGCTCTCCTGTTGTCATCCATTCGCCACTGCTTGCTCTCCTGTTTTCATCCCTTCCCCTCTGCTTGCTCTCCTGTTTTCATCCCTTCCCCTCTGCTTGCTCTCCTGTTTTCATCCCTTCCCCTCTGCTTGCTCTCCTGTTGTCATCCATTCGCCACTGCTTGCTCTCCTGTTTTCATCCCTTCCCCTCTGCTTGCTCTACTGTTTTCATCCCTTCCCCTCTGCTTGCTCTCCTGTTTTCATCCCTTCCCCTCTGCTTGCTCTCCTGTTGTCATCCATTCGCCACTGCTTGCTCTCCTGTTTTCATCCCTTCCCCTCTGCTTGCTCTACTGTTTTCATCCCTTCCCCTCTGCTTGCTCTCCTGTTTTCATCCCTTCCCCTCTGCTTGCTCTCCTGTTGTCATCCATTCGCCACTGCTTGCTCTCCTGTTTTCATCCCTTCCCCTCTGCTTGCTCTACTGTTTTCATCCCTTCCCCTCTGCTTGCTCTCCTGTTTTCATCCCTTCCCCTCTGCTTGCTCTCCTGTTGTCATCCATTCGCCACTGCTTGCTCTCCTGTTTTCATCCCTTCCCCTCTGCTTGCTCTCCTGTTTTCATCCCTTCCCCTCTGCTTGCTCTCCTGTTGTCATCCATTCGCCACTGCTTGCTCTCCTGTTTTCATCCCTTCCCCTCTGCTTGCTCTCCTGTTTTCATCCCTTCCCCTCTGCTTGCTCTCCTGTTTTCATCCCTTCCCCTCTGCTTGCTCTCCTGTTGTCATCCATTCGCCACTGCTTGCTCTCCTGTTTTCATCCCTTCCCCTCTGCTTGCTCTACTGTTTTCATCCCTTCCCCTCTGCTTGCTCTCCTGTTTTCATCCCTTCCCCTCTGCTTGCTCTCCTGTTGTCATCCATTCGCCACTGCTTGCTCTCCTGTTTTCATCCCTTCCCCTCTGCTTGCTCTCCTGTTTTCATCCCTTCCCCTCTGCTTGCTCTCCTGTTGTCATCCATTCGCCACTGCTTGCTCTCCTGTTTTCATCCCTTCCCCTCTGCTTGCTCTCCTGTTTTCATCCCTTCCCCTCTGCTTGCTCTCCTGTTTTCATCCCTTCCCCTCTGCTTGCTCTCCTGTTGTCATCCATTCGCCACTGCTTGCTCTCCTGTTTTCATCCCTTCCCCTCTGCTTGCTCTACTGTTTTCATCCCTTCCCCTCTGCTTGCTCTCCTGTTTTCATCCCTTCCCCTCTGCTTGCTCTCCTGTTGTCATCCATTCGCCACTGCTTGCTCTCCTGTTTTCATCCCTTCCCCTCTGCTTGCTCTCCTGTTTTCATCCCTTCCCCTCTGCTTGCTCTCCTGTTGTCATCCATTCGCCACTGCTTGCTCTCCTGTTTTCATCCCTTCCCCTCTGCTTGCTCTCCTGTTTTCATCCCTTCCCCTCTGCTTGCTCTCCTGTTTTCATCCCTTCCCCTCTGCTTGCTCTCCTGTTGTCATCCATTCGCCACTGCTTGCTCTCCTGTTTTCATCCCTTCCCCTCTGCTTGCTCTACTGTTTTCATCCCTTCCCCTCTGCTTGCTCTCCTGTTTTCATCCCTTCCCCTCTGCTTGCTCTCCTGTTGTCATCCATTCGCCACTGCTTGCTCTCCTGTTTTCATCCCTTCCCCTCTGCTTGCTCTCCTGTTTTCATCCCTTCCCCTCTGCTTGCTCTCCTGTTGTCATCCATTCGCCACTGCTTGCTCTCCTGTTTTCATCCCTTCCCCTCTGCTTGCTCTCCTGTTTTCATCCCTTCCCCTCTGCTTGCTCTCCTGTTTTCATCCCTTCCCCTCTGCTTGCTCTCCTGTTGTCATCCATTCGCCACTGCTTGCTCTCCTGTTTTCATCCCTTCCCCTCTGCTTGCTCTACTGTTTTCATCCCTTCCCCTCTGCTTGCTCTCCTGTTTTCATCCCTTCCCCTCTGCTTGCTCTCCTGTTGTCATCCATTCGCCACTGCTTGCTCTCCTGTTTTCATCCCTTCCCCTCTGCTTGCTCTCCTGTTTTCATCCCTTCCCCTCTGCTTGCTCTCCTGTTGTCATCCATTCGCCACTGCTTGCTCTCCTGTTTTCATCCCTTCCCCTCTGCTTGCTCTCCTGTTTTCATCCCTTCCCCTCTGCTTGCTCTCCTGTTTTCATCCCTTCCCCTCTGCTTGCTCTCCTGTTGTCATCCATTCGCCACTGCTTGCTCTCCTGTTTTCATCCCTTCCCCTCTGCTTGCTCTACTGTTTTCATCCCTTCCCCTCTGCTTGCTCTCCTGTTTTCATCCCTTCCCCTCTGCTTGCTCTCCTGTTGTCATCCATTCGCCACTGCTTGCTCTCCTGTTTTCATCCCTTCCCCTCTGCTTGCTCTACTGTTTTCATCCCTTCCCCTCTGCTTGCTCTCCTGTTTTCATCCCTTCCCCTCTGCTTGCTCTCCTGTTGTCATCCATTCGCCACTGCTTGCTCTCCTGTTTTCATCCCTTCCCCTCTGCTTGCTCTACTGTTTTCATCCCTTCCCCTCTGCTTGCTCTCCTGTTTTCATCCCTTCCCCTCTGCTTGCTCTCCTGTTGTCATCCATTCGCCACTGCTTGCTCTCCTGTTTTCATCCCTTCCCCTCTGCTTGCTCTCCTGTTTTCATCCCTTCCCCTCTGCTTGCTCTCCTGTTGTCATCCATTCGCCACTGCTTGCTCTCCTGTTTTCATCCCTTCCCCTCTGCTTGCTCTCCTGTTTTCATCCCTTCCCCTCTGCTTGCTCTCCTGTTTTCATCCCTTCCCCTCTGCTTGCTCTCCTGTTGTCATCCATTCGCCACTGCTTGCTCTCCTGTTTTCATCCCTTCCCCTCTGCTTGCTCTACTGTTTTCATCCCTTCCCCTCTGCTTGCTCTCCTGTTTTCATCCCTTCCCCTCTGCTTGCTCTCCTGTTGTCATCCATTCGCCACTGCTTGCTCTCCTGTTTTCATCCCTTCCCCTCTGCTTGCTCTCCTGTTTTCATCCCTTCCCCTCTGCTTGCTCTCCTGTTGTCATCCATTCGCCACTGCTTGCTCTCCTGTTTTCATCCCTTCCCCTCTGCTTGCTCTCCTGTTTTCATCCCTTCCCCTCTGCTTGCTCTCCTGTTTTCATCCCTTCCCCTCTGCTTGCTCTCCTGTTGTCATCCATTCGCCACTGCTTGCTCTCCTGTTTTCATCCCTTCCCCTCTGCTTGCTCTACTGTTTTCATCCCTTCCCCTCTGCTTGCTCTCCTGTTTTCATCCCTTCCCCTCTGCTTGCTCTCCTGTTGTCATCCATTCGCCACTGCTTGCTCTCCTGTTTTCATCCCTTCCCCTCTGCTTGCTCTCCTGTTTTCATCCCTTCCCCTCTGCTTGCTCTCCTGTTGTCATCCATTCGCCACTGCTTGCTCTCCTGTTTTCATCCCTTCCCCTCTGCTTGCTCTCCTGTTTTCATCCCTTCCCCTCTGCTTGCTCTCCTGTTTTCATCCCTTCCCCTCTGCTTGCTCTCCTGTTGTCATCCATTCGCCACTGCTTGCTCTCCTGTTTTCATCCCTTCCCCTCTGCTTGCTCTACTGTTTTCATCCCTTCCCCTCTGCTTGCTCTCCTGTTTTCATCCCTTCCCCTCTGCTTGCTCTCCTGTTGTCATCCATTCGCCACTGCTTGCTCTCCTGTTTTCATCCCTTCCCCTCTGCTTGCTCTCCTGTTTTCATCCCTTCCCCTCTGCTTGCTCTCCTGTTTTCATCCCTTCCCCTCTGCTTGCTCTCCTGTTTTCATCCCTTCCCCTCTGCTTGCTCTACTGTCCCCTCCCACCCTCCCTCCCTTCTCACTCCCCCCCCAAACTTCTTCCTCTCTCTGCCAAACCCCACAACAAACGCCTCTGCCAGTCCTTTTCCCTTCTCCTTCCCCTTACCTCCCCTCCCCCCTCTCCTCCTCTCCCATCACCCCTCCAATCACAGAACGACACGTGTGCAGCGGTGGCAGACGGCTTCGACCTCACAGTTGCAGACCTGGAAGCTCTCAACCCGGGCGTGAACTGTACCGGGAAGATAAAGAAGCTTCCCGCAGTGAACCAGCAGGTGAATTGTCTCTCTGAGTGTGCGGCTGGTTGGTACGCCTGATGTGCCTTCAAGCTCTCCTTCTTTCCTCTCAACCCCGCCCAGTGTGTGTGCCGGGGAACAAGTGTGTTGTCCCCTGCTCTGAGCTGCACCTCAGTGTGTGTGTCTCCCACTCCGCTCCTTGCATGAGCGTGGCACCACAGCCTAACCTCCACCTTTGTTATCCCTCCCACCCCTCTCCATGGGGCAACGGGGCCGACTTCCCCATGTGCACGCAGTTCTGTCTACACAGCGCTTCCAATGCCGTCCCCTGGTTTAACTGCTCCCGTGGGTTCCTCCCACCCCACTCCCTCACCTCACCAGGTGTGCGTGCAGGAGGGCAACGGGGCCGACTTCCCCATGTGCATGCAGTTCTACACCATCCTCCCCAGCGACAACTGCGACACCATCATGACTCACAGCAGGGGTTGGTGCCAACCCTAAACATGCCCCTCTCCCTCCTCTCTCCAACATCCCTCCCTGTCCCCTCCGTGTCCCCCCCTTGTACTAACGCTTCCATGCTACCAGGTGTGCGTGCAGGAGGGCAACGGGGCAGACTTCCCCATGTGCACACAGTTCTACACCGTCCTCCCCAGCGACAACTGCAACACCATCATGAAGCGCTTCAAGCTCTCCCACCTCTCCTTCTACGCGCTCAACCCCGGCCTCAGCTGCGCAGCGCTCTTCCCCTACCTCAGCGGTCCCGACGAGGACGAGGACGAGGGCGACCAGGATGGGGGGTCTACGCTCAGCGGCACTCAGGTGAGGATGAGGATAATCGAAAGGACTTTTCCGACCAGGTAGTCTGTTTCTAAGGCAACACAAGACAGGGCAGGGCCAGTACCTGCCTGCTCCTTGGGTGTTCAAGCTCTCTGCACTCTCCTTGCACGCACCCAACTTGCCCTTCCTTCTTCCTCTTCTCCCCTTCTCACGTTGCCTTTTCTGCCATCTTGTACAGAACTCCTCCTCACCGCCACCACCTCCTGTTCCTCATAGTGACTTTTGAGTCCACTCAAAAGTCTTCTTCCCTTCTCACGTTGCCTTTTCCACCATCTTGTACAGAACTCCTCCACACCACCACCCGCTCCTCCCGCTGCTTCCCTCTCTGCAGGTGTGCATCTCAGGCTTTACAGTCAACGCCACCGGGCCCGCTCCTGCCCGCTCCCTACGCACCCTCCACCCGCAAGGCACTCTGCAACGCACACCCAAGAAGCTTACCGGGTTCCGAAGGCTTGAGAGGCCCGAGAGGCCTGAGAAGCTCGAGAGGCTGGAGAACGCATGGGTGGCAGGAGAAACCCGGTTGTGGGAGGGACATCACCACCAGCAGCAGCAGTTGCAGCAGCTGCAGCTGCAGCAGCGGCAGCGGCAGCAGCAGTCGTGGCAGCAGTGGATGCACGAGCTCTTTACTGAGATGGCGGCGTTGGGGCCTCACAGGAGCAGGCAGAAAGGGCTGTACAAGCCTGGCTTTAAAGGGGCTTCAGTGGCACTCCAAAAGAGGCTGCTAGCAACCACTAAAGGCAGGCGCGCCCGGCCCAGATGCCTTGCGTATTACTCTGTGCAGCGCGGGGATTTTTGTGCGCGCATCATATCGCTCAAGTTCCAGAACAGTGCAAGAAAGATGGCGGAGTTGAACAATGGATATGTGTGCACCAATGATAGGTTGTACGTGGGAATGTCGCTTTGCACGCGGAAGTGAGGCAGGGTCGAGTTTGGCGGACACATCGGTTTTGTTTTGCAGTGAATAATTGTGCAGTGAAGCTTCTCTGTATCTAGTTTCTGTGTCAGGTTGATAGCAATTAGGGCGGGTTCAGCGCGTACGTTTACAGTTCATCCCGTGCGGCTGCTCTTGTTGCGTCACTATTAAAAACGGTGGAAACCGCAAATCGCTTTGAACCATGTGATATCGTTTTGTGCCATGGGTCATGATCTGTAAACGAACCGTAACCGTATGCCCTTAGTAGTACAGTACTCTATAAAACGTAAGGCAGATTGTTCACAAAATTCACTTGAAAGTGAGGACAGATTGTCTTCAGTTCTGAAAGTGAGGACATGCTTGGTGGTACACCCTCATTCTCGTTAGACTGGCATATGTTATACTGACCGGGACGCTTAGTGTAGCCGCAGCGGACCAAAGAAGGTCCTATCACATGCGTTATACTGACAGTTTGACCCAGGGCGTTTAGTCAAGGTTCTATACGTTCTAGAATGCTACTGCTGTTTTCTAAACGGTTAAGACAGTTATTCAGCGTTAACGGAATTTTACGGCCCAAGTCTGGTTTCGTCGCCTCGTGCGACTTGGCCCGCAACCGAGTTATCTCACCAGCCCGCTAGGTCCAAACACTGTAGCCACTGTTTCCGCCGGTGAGAAGACTGAGAATGAGGGTGTATGATTTCAGACAGGGCTGTCGCTTGCTCTGGACCCAGAACTCAGCGGGCTAAGGTCCCCTAGATTCAGCCCATATTTATCCGGATCGAGTCATATTTTTAACACTTAGATTCAGGGCTACACAACCTTCTGCACTTGAGCGTAAACACACCATGGATGTTGATGATGCTCAAATACGTCTAAGGGCTGCGGTACATAGCAGATCTATTAGCCGATCTACTACTATTCAGCGAAGAGGGGAGAAGGTAGGTTCTACGTAAGCAGGGGAGACATATTACTATGGGAAACGAGGGGGTGGGGTGGTAGGTAGGGGCTCTGAGGCTATACGTGAAATCCTGGTTAGGCGCTAAGCCAGCCCGTAAGGAAACGGGCAGGCCTCAAAGTCAGCCATTGAATTCTCTGAGCTGGGCCCGAACCAGCCCTTGAATTCAAGGGTAAAAAGGGAAAATTTCCCTGTAGCGAAAGGCCTGATTTCAGACATCATCAGCAGCACCGACATTCGGTGGCAACAGTGACGCGCCTCGGCTGTCAATTCTTGTAGGTCTGAATGGGGGAGCTTCTCCACAACAGGAAAGGAGCGTGCGAAGGAGCGGGTGAGGGAGGGAGGCAGGGCTCTCGATTCATTTTGGGACACGCTGCTTGATCCGAGTTGTGACCCACCAAGTCCTCGCCAACTTCACTATGGCCAATTTCACCCCCCTGTGTATTCGTTTTAAATTTACCCGAGTTTGAGGGTTGTTTCAAACACTTTGGTTTTAACGAAAGCACGACTGGGACTGCGCACATGAGTTAGTGGAAAAACAAAAGAAACATGGTCGCAGTGGAAGATTCAGTCCTTGCGTTGCGGTCTCAACGTCAGAAGGGGCAAACATCGAAACGTCACAATGCCTCGGATAGCCTCTATTTCGAGGGTGTCTTACCCTCTATAGTCAAATAATGTCAGTTTGGTTTTAAGTAAGAACTGACGGGGCGTGAAATTGGCAAGGACTGTGTGTACACCCTGCCTCTGCAGCGTGCCTTGGCAGTCGTACCCAAGAAATAGCAGTGTGTTTTTTTTTTCGAGGTTCGTATCTTGCAGGGTTAAAATCCGCAAACACTGCCTAGCAAAAACTTCTGGGTCCGGCAGTTGATCCTGCCATTATGGATCCCGGGTCCTGTCTCGATTGTAAGTGTTTACAGTAACTCGACAGACAGAGAGGATAGTCGTCTCTATACGTAAGTGCGTGGCGGTTGAGCTTTTAGTGGTGTATTTGGGGACATGAGAGGCCTGTCAGTGGGTCTTCTAGGCGCGGTCACTAGCGATGCGCGCCACTCTCTGGAGCTGAATCCCTGGTGTTTCAAGGACTTCGCCGATTCTGGAATTTCAGTCACAAACACTACTGGACACATTTCAGTCACAAACGCCACTCACTGTCGTAACGAGCCGGGAAACGGCAGTGCGGCATATAAGAGTAAACAGCATTTGCAGGGCTTGTTTTCAGCCCCGCCTGACGATGACAGGGTGGACGCCCAGATAAACCCAATTCTAGCAGTGTGAGTCCGAAATCTCACCCTGAAATGCAGGAAAACAGGGTAAAACGCCCTGCAATCCTGAGGCCTGGAGGGAGGGGGGTGGGCGCTCTCCTCTCCTCACCCCATCTGCCTGTGTTTGTGCGTTCTGGTACGTTTGTTCGGTTCCGCTAGATTCCGTTTGGTTAATTTCGGTTCCACTGGGTGTCTCGTTCCTTGCATAACGCCTACTCTGCTCCATCCCATGATGGTCGCAACCCGCCTTTGGGGACGGTCGTTCGTAATGTTGTACTTACCGTGTATGTCTGGAACTGTTGTCGGGTTACCGCAAACGACATAGATGCGCCGTCGGATCTCTCAGGGGAGCAAAATCGGACAGTTCAGCCCTCTCGACTTCTTTCAGTATCCCAACACAGATTCCGAGCTGGTTCCAGCTTCCTCCCCGCTGGTGCCACGTGGTTCATTAGCCAATCACATTTCTGAAACCAGACAACCTCTCCTTGAAACACAGTGTACACTGTACGGTCGTATCTTGGGTTTGGGTTCGCCTTTAGGGCTGTGTCGGTAGCACTGTAGCTACCTTTCCAATTGAGCTTTGAGAAGGTTGGACTGAGGCCGCCAAGCGCAAGCATGTTCCGCGTGTCATCCTCACCAAGGAGTCCGACCTTCCGAACCGAGCCGAACCGAAACAAGTTGAATCGACGGGCCATCTTTTGACGGCAGCCGATTATTGCTCTCTAGTTCGTGCTTCGCAGTTGTCGTCTCGCGATTCGCCGTCGTCGCCCTCGCCGCCGCCGTCGCGATAACTTACACGATTTGTACAGTAGTTAGTGCCGTGCAGTGCAGATAAAAGTTCGCACGTTTGCAGCAGTTAGTTCTTCCGCCTCGACCACACACTGTTAGTAGTTAATCTCCTCAACTTGGGCCGACTTAATTTTCTTCTCTCTATCATTTTATTCTGTTGTTACTGCTAGTGGGATTCGCAGTCGCCTCTCGTCGATGCCGTCGGTTCCAGGCAATAAAGATAAATATGGCGACACTCGCCAGCCACCGTCATCGCGGTCGTCGCACTGCGACGTTGCATTGTTGTGTCATCGTCATGCGATCGTGCTTCTCGTCATCGCAAGCAACATCAGAGCGGCGTCAGGTTAGAGTCCCATTTCGTTAATAGTCTCCGTAATCATACTGTTGGCTTTAGTCCATCATCTGTTGCTGCTGAAGATTCTTAGTAGAAGGGGTTTCCGTACTTAAGGGTCCCTTTCCCCCGTCTACTACTACTATAGTCATCCTCCATACGGACAGGCCCGTTATTCGTCCTGCTTCCACTACTACGGACCAGGGAGTACGATAATATCCGCGCTCGTTCACGCATCAGTGCACCCCATCCCGCCATTCAACGCACCCCGACAGTCGTCTTTTAAGGAGCCCTAAGATTTGCTCTTTGGGGTTCCCCACGAAAAACACTTTGCATTCATCGTTGCGCCCGTTCCGCGCTCCACTCTTCCCCGCTCCACTCTTCCCCGCTCCACTCTTCCCCGCTACACTCTTCCCCGCTCCACTTTTCCCCGCCCAGTGCGTGGCACGAGCCCTTCCCCCCTGTTTCCTTCTCCACTCCCTCCCCCCCCCCCCAGTTTCCGCCGCCTCGTTTCCCCGACTCCCCCCTTTCCCCCTTCCCCCCCATTTTCCCCTCTCCCCTATCCATACTTCTCCAACCCTGCTTTTCCCTTCTCCTGACCACGCCCCTCCTTCCTGCCCGCGCGTTTCACCGCCCCTCTTCCCCTCATTTCTTTCCCCTTCCCCCCGTCCCCCACCCCCCCTCCTCCCCCCATTTCCCCCGTGCTTGACTCTCCCCCTTCCACTCTCCCCCTTCCGCCCTCCTCCCTCCTCTTCCCCCCCTTCCGCTTTCCTCCTTCCGCCATGGTTTCTCGTCCTGCCGCCGTTCCACTTCCCCGCCCTTGTGGCCTAGTTTTGAGACGTCTTTTGAGGCGAATTTTGAGACGTCTTTTGAGACCACTATTGAGACGACTTTTGAGACGTCTTTTGAGACGACTTTTGAGACGTCTTTTGTGACGACTTTTGAGACGACTTTTGAGACGACTTTTGAGACGACTTTTGAGACGACTCAAAACTAAACTATTAATCATCCGCATGCACGCACCCACCCCATGCATCCTACCCAGCATGCATCCTACCCAGCATGCATCCCATCCCATCCCATCCCATCCCGCATATGCATCCCATCCCATCCAGCATGCATTCAATGTCATAACGTACGCTCTATTTTCTGTAGCTGCTCTGCTTCCTAAAGTCCATATTTCGTTCTAATGTGCAGCTTAATTCGTAACGTGCCACGTCAGCTGCGACCACCTGCTTCCCCGCCGCCCACTTCAATTTCCTACCTTTCATCCTCAATTCTCACGGGGCGTGACAGCAACTGCTCTCTCTCTGCCCTTCTCCACCCCCCGCCCCCCTCTCCTCCCCACCCGCCCCCCTTCCCTCCCCTGCCCTGCCCTTCTTCCATATCCTGCCCCTCTCCTTCCCCCTCCCCTTCCCCCAGCATCCGCCTGTAGCGCGGTGCCCAACTTTGCGCTGCTACAGCCGAGGCATCTCAAAAGCGTGTCAAGAAATGCGGGCATGGGGTATGACGGCGGGTGCTCTCCCCTTCCTCCCCCCATGCCCTCCTGCCCCCCCCTCCCCCAGCCTACGCCTGTAGCGCGGTGCCCAGCTTTGCGCTGCTACAGCCGAGGCACCTGAACCGCGTATCGAGATATCCGAGCATGGGGTATGACGGCGGGTGTGACTGCTGGAGTGTTGACCTGAACGTGGACTGGCGCGACCTGGAGGGCGTGCAAGGCGTGCGCAACGAGGGCGCGTGCAGTGAGTAACATGGTGGTGTCGTGCAGTGTGCGGTTCTGTGCGGTTTGGTGTGCTAGCGTATGATGGCTGGTCGGAGCATGGGGTATAGCAGCAGGTGTGACTGCTGGAGTGTTGACCTGAACGTGGACTGGCGCGAGCTGCAGGGCGTGCAAGGCGTGCGCAACGAGGGGGTGTGCAGCGAGTAATGTGGTGGTGTGGTGTGGTGCTATCTAATGCAGTGTGGATTGATATGGTGTGGTGCAGTGTGGTGCGGAGTGTTAGCACATGATTGCTGGTCGGAGCATGGGGTATAGCAGCAGCTGTGACTGCTGGGGTGTTGACTTTTAATGTGGACAGGCGCGAGCTGTAGGGCGTGCAAGGAGTGCAGTGAGTGTGGTGGGGTGTGGTATGGTATGGTGCGGTGCGGTGTGGTGTGGTGTGATGCAGTGTGGTGTGGTGCGGTGTGCTGCTTCCTCGTCCTTACTCTTGTTCGTTTTTGCTTGTGCCGCCCACTTTTCTCCCCGCTCTCCCTGCCGGTCCCTTTCCCCCATGGCAGAGGCATCATGGCCGATCGCAGCAGAGAACGCGGTGGGAGTGAGAGTGACTGCGGCTATGATTGCAATTCTTGAGACGTCTCAAAAGTAGTTGCGCATGGAGCATGGATTCGCACTGAGAGTAGTTGCGCGCTCCATGTGCTGTGGGCTGCACCTGCACCAGCCGATTTTTCAGTCGACTCAAAAATCACACCTGCACCTGCACAAGCCCCCGGTAGCAGTTGAGCGACTGCCCCTGTCTCAAAAGTCCTCCTCCTCCACCTCCCCCCTGCCCACCCCCTCGTGTGGCAGAGGCGTCATGGGGGATGGCAGCAGTGAGCGCGGTGGAGGGGACACAATGGCTATGAGTGGGACTTTTGACCCCGTCCTCCCCCCCCCACCCCCCTCCCCCCCTGCCCATCCCTCCCCGACAGCAGAGGCATCATGGGGGATGGCAGCAGTGAGCGCGGTGGAGGTTACATGACACCATGGCTATGATTGCGAATTTTGACACGCCTCAGAAGTCCCCCCTCCAACAACCCGCCCACCACCCTCCCCCTTTCCCCTCCTCCACCTCCCCCCCCGTCCCTCCCGCCTGTTCAGAGCAGAGGCGTCATGGGTGATCACAGCAGTGAACGCGGGGGAAGTGACGATGGCTATGATTGCAACACCATTGAAGTGTCCTTTCCCCCAAACCCCTCCCCAACCCCCCCCCCCCCCCCTCTCTCTCTTCTCCTCGCCCCCTGCCCAGAGGCGTCATGGGCGATCGCAGCAGTGAACGCGGTGGAAGTGACCATGGCCATGGTTGCAGACCAGCTAGAGTCGTACGACAGTGCCTTCAACATCTCCGTGCAGCAGGTGCGTGCGCTCAGCAGCACATGACAAGATTGAGTGAGACGCCCAACGCAACACAGCAGGTTCGGTGTGGTGTGGTGTGCGGTGCGGTGCGGTGAGCATGTCATCCTTGGTGGTGCGGACTCGAAGGTAAAGGCAAGCCTTGGTGTAGGCAAAGGGTTTGAGTCGACTCTAAAAACGGCTATGCTGTGCGTGCATGGGCTACATAGTGTGTGCATGGGCTACATCATGCGTGCATGGGCTATATCGTGCGTGCATGGGCTACATCGTGCGTGCATGGGCTACATCGTGCGTGCATGGGCTACACACGCTAATGCGCGCACCCTCGTGCAAGCACGCATCCTTCACACTCCACCCACCCTCTCATGCTCCTCTCCCCGTCCCCCCTGCCCAGCAGCAGCAGCTGCAAGGGCAGGTGGTCCACATCAGCGCCAGTGCTGACCCTCCACCGTCTTGCACCCCTCCTTCCTCTCCTTCACCGCTTCAGGTGGTGGACTGCGAGCCCAGCAGCAGCAGCTGCAAGGGCGGGTGGCCCACATCAGCGCTGGACTACATGGTGGATGCCAGTAACGACCTGGGGGGGCTTGTGCCGCAGCTGCAGTACCCGTACAAGGGCAAGCAGGCCAAGTGCAACGCAGGCAAGGTGCGAGGGGAAGGTGCGAGGGGGGATGTGTTGTTCGGATCGGGCTTGGGTAGAAAGAAGAATAGAGAAGCGAAAGGACATCTAATAATTTCTTCTCCCTCTTCCCTCACTCCCTCCCCTTTCATCCTCCCCCCTCTGCTCTCCCTCTGCTCCCCCTCAGATCGCCACGTCATCCACGCCACTGGGTCTGGCGCGATACGAGCAGGTGGACTTGTATGGGTGGATTGGGCTGCTGCTGGCCGTGCAGGTGCAGCCAGCCATTGTCTCCTCCCTCTACCGCCCTCACTGCCTTCCTCACCCCCTTCCTCTCCCCATCCCCTCACCCCGCTCAGATCGCCACATCGTCCACGCCACTGGGTCTGGCGCGGTACGAGCAGGTGGACTTCTATGGGTGGATCGGGCTGCTGCTGGCCGTGCAGGTGCAGCCGGTCATTGCCTTTGTGCGCGGCAGCTTCCCCTCCTTCCAGAAATACAAATGGGTATGCTGTTCTTTTACTTCTTGGTGTAGCTGCTGATATGGCTTGTTTAGCACTTACTTGTAATAAGAAAAGGCGTTTTCTAGGACCCCGAGTGTGCAGCAGCCGCAGGCATCGTGGACCAAGAAGAGGTGACTTTTGAGTCGACTCAAAAGTCGCAGTGCTGCTGGTGGGCTATGGGGAAGAGGTGACTTTTAAGTCGACTCAAATGTCGCAGTGCTGCTGGTGGGCTATGGGGAAGAGGTGACTTTTAAGTCGACTCAAATGTCGCAGTGCTGCTGGTGGGCTATGGGGAAGAGGTGACTTTTAAGTCGACTCAAATGTCGCAGTGCTGCTGGTGGGCTATGGGGAATGCGTTTATTCTCCCTCTCGTTCCATCTTCCTTTTGAGGATTCTCAGTTGAGTCGTTTTTGAACTCGTGCTGGGCAATGGGTTGTGCGGTCACTCTCCCTCCTTTTGCATCTCCTTTACTTCCCCTTTTCCCATCGACCCACCCCCCCTCCACTTCCCATCAGGGGGTGCTACTCCTCTCCCTCCTCTCCTTCCTCACCGTCCCTATCTCCCTTCCGATCCTCTCACCCCTTTTGTTCCCCTCAGGGCGTCTATGGCGATCCCAGGTGTGCGGCAGCAGGCATTGTGGACCATGCAGTGCTGGTGGTGGGGTATGCGTTCACGGGGCCAAATGGGCAGGGCAACTGGATCGTGCGCAACTCGTGGGGCACCAAGTGGGGCGAGCAGGTGCGGTGGGGTGGATGGGGTTACCTGCAGGTGCTGGTGGTGGGGTAGGGTACGCGTGGGCGCTCCCTTGCAGTCCCTGATGGGCAGGGCAACTGGACCCTGCGCAACTCGTGGGGCATCAAGTGGTGGGGCGAGCAGGTGCGGTGCGGTGCGGCGATGGCATGTGGCATGGATGGGCATGGCATGGTATGGATGGCATGCGCATGGGTGTGTATGATGGCATGGGTGTAATCAAATCAGGGTATAAAAAAATATGGTATCTTTGAAATTTTACAGTTAAGAACCATATTGTATAAAACGGCTGTAAAAAACGGTAAAACACGGTCCAGGATGTGTTCTCTGTTTGGTCTAAAAACCGGTCGTTTTTTTTCTTTCTTTTCACTAGGAGGGGGTATCAATCAACCCATGGGACAACAGGGAAATTGAGCAGGAGAAAGAGTTATTTATCAAGTTATCTACATAATTGTTTGCATTTTCTTGCATGTTTCCGTTTGTAGACATGATTGAAAAATGTATCCGACCTTTTTTTTTTCTTTCCTTTTTTTTGTGATCGGGCTCTAACGAAAAACGGTCGCTTTTTTTCTCGCAAAAAAATCCGTAAAAAACCGGACTGCATCTCACGAAAACCATCTATTTAAACCTTGGGTGTGATGTGATTGCATGGATGTGATGTGATGATGTTGTGAACATGGCCTCTTGGGTGACAAATGGGGTGCGCAGGTGGGGCAAAGGAATGCGGGAGAAAATGTTGTAGAAGGGGAGGGAGGGGGGGGCAATGGGGATGAGTTTGGGAGAGGACAGAGGGTGCGGATATAGAGAGCGAGGGTATTGCCGAGAAGGTGTGGATATAGAGAGCGAGGTCATTGCCGAGAAGGTGCGGATATAGAGAGCGAGGTCATTGCCGAGAAGGTGCGGATATAGAGAGCGAGGTCATCGCCGAGAAGGTGCGGATATAGAGAGCGAGGTCATTGCCAAGAAGGTGCGGATATAGAGAGCGAGGTCATTGCCAAGAAGGTGCGGATATAGAGAGCGAGGTCATTGCCAAGAAGGTGCGGATATAGAGAGCGAGGTAATTGCCAAGAAGGTGCGGATATAGAGAGCGAGGTCATTGCCAAGAAGGTGCAGATATAGAGAGCGAGGTCATTGCCAAGAAGGTGCGGATATAGAGAGCGAGGTCATTGCCGAGAAGGTGCGGATATAGAGAGCGAGGTCATTGCCGAGAAGGTGCGGATATAGAGAGCGAGGTCATTGCCAAGAAGGTGCGGATATAGAGAGCGAGGTCATTGCCAAGAAGGTGCGGATATAGAGAGCGAGGTCATTGCCAAGAAAGTGCGGATATAGAGAGCGAGGTCATTGCCAAGAAGGTGCGGATATAGAGAGCGAGGTCATTGCCGAGAAGGTGCGGATATAGAGAGCGAGGTCATTGCCGAGAAGGTGCGGATATAGAGAGCGAGGTCATTGCCGAGAAGGTGCGGATATAGAGAGCGAGGTCATCGCCGAGAAGGTGCGGATATAGAGAGCGAGGTCATTGCCAAGAAGGTGCGGATATAGAGAGCGAGGTCATTGCCGAGAAGGTGCGGATATAGAGAGCGAGGTCATTGCCAAGAAGGTGCGGATATAGAGAGCGAGGTCATTGCCAAGAAGGTGCGGATATAGAGAGCGAGGTCATTGCCAAGAAGGTGCGGATATAGAGAGCGAGGTCATTGCCAAGAAGGTGCGGATATAGAGAGCGAGGTCATTGCCAAGAAGGTGCAGATATAGAGAGCGAGGTCATTGCCAAGAAGGTGCGGATATAGAGAGCGAGGTCATTGCCGAGAAGGTGCGGATATAGAGAGCGAGGTCATTGCCGAGAAGGTGCGGATATAGAGAGCGAGGTCATTGCCAAGAAGGTGCGGATATAGAGAGCGAGGTCATTGCCAAGAAGGTGCGGATATAGAGAGCGAGGTCATTGCCAAGAAAGTGCGGATATAGAGAGCGAGGTCATTGCCAAGAAGGTGCGGATATAGAGAGCGAGGTCATTGCCGAGAAGGTGCGGATATAGAGAGCGAGGTCATTGCCGAGAAGGTGCGGATATAGAGAGCGAGGTCATTGCCAAGAAGGTGCGGATATAGAGAGCGAGGTCATTGCCAAGAAGGTGCGGATATAGAGAGCGAGGTCATTGCCAAGAAGGTGCGGATATAGAGAGCGAGGTCATTGCCAAGAAGGTGCGGATATAGAGAGCGAGGTCATTGCCAAGAAGGTGCGGATATAGAGAGCGAGGTCATTGCCAAGAAGGTGCGGATATAGAGAGCGAGGTCATTGCCAAGAAGGTGCGGATATAGAGAGCGAGGTCATTGCCAAGAAGGTGCGGATATAGAGAGCGAGGTCATTGCCAAGAAGGTGCGGATATAGAAGTGTGCAGTGTTTTTTCAAGCAGGTCAAGCTAGGAAGTTGCCTTGTTCCATCAATCCATCTCTCCACCTCTCTCCACCTCTAACCACCTCCCCTCTCCCCCCCGTGCTCTTCCCCTCCCTTTCTTTCCTATCTGGGGCATGAGAGGATGAAGCTCTCTCCCTTTTTTTCCCCGATCTCCCCATTCTCCCTCTCCCGTTCTCCCTTCCCATCAAGGCCGTATGAGGATGGCTTTGCAAGAAGCATTGGCATCTCCCCATCTCCCCCATTCCCCAATTCCCCCACTCCCCCTCTCCCGTTCTCCCGTTCTCCCTTCCCATCAAGGCGTATGAGGATGGCTTTGCAGGAAGTGTTGGCATCTCCACTTCTCTCCTCATCACTCTCTCCACTTCTCTCTACCTCTCTGCCCCTCCCCATCTCCCCCATTCCCCCTCTCCCCACTCCCTCCCCTCCCAATCAGGGCCATATGAGGATGGCTTTCGCGGGAAGCGTTGGCATCTGCGGATATAGATTGTATTTAACTTCACCTCACCTCCCCCTTCGCCCTCCATTTGTGAAGTTTGTCTCCCTCTCTCCCTCCCTCCCTCCCTCCCTCCCTTCCCATCAGGGCCATATGAGGATGGCTTTCGCAGGAAGCGTTGGCATCTGCGGAATCCATTCCGTGCCGGCTATTTACCCCATCGTTCAGGGTGAGTTGCACCATTTACCCCATCGTTCAGTGTGAGTTACACCATTTACCCCATCATTCAGGGTGAGTTACTCCATTTACCCCATCGTTCAGGGTGAGTTACACCATGTACCCATTCTTTCAGGGGTGAGTTACACCATTTACCATTTTGTTCAGGGTGAGTTGTCATCGAGCCATGTCGTCCTCTGCTCCTTTGCAACCGTCGATCATCTACAAGAGTGATTCAATTCTCTCCGTTTCCCCTCCTCCTCCCCGTTCCTCCCGTCCTCCCCTCCTCCCCCCCCCCCCCCTCCCCCTCCCCTGCCGTTCCCCTTTGACTCACTCCAGAAGCCCTGGGGGGGCAGCGCTTGTATCAATCCGCTACAGCAGTAACTCACTACCCTCCGTTCCCCCGTCACTCCCCCCTACACCTTCCCCCCATCATCCTCCTCCATCTGCCACCAAGCCACACCAGTTCCGTCCCCCTGTGACTCGTTGCCCCTCCATTCTCCCCCCACACACCTTTCCCCTATCACCCTCCCCCACTCTCCGTCCCCATGCCCATCCCCTTCCCCTTCACACCAGTGCCTTCCCCCTGTGACTTGGCCACTAACCCTGTGGGGGCGGCGCAAAATTAACTCACTCCCCTCCGTCCCCCCTCCACTCCCCCCCACACCTTCCCCCCCATCACCCTCCCCCATTAACCGCCGTGCCACACCAGTGCCATCGCCCTGTGACTCGCCTCAGAAGCCCTGTGGGGGCGGCGTGTGTGTGCCTGAGGAGGGCGGCTACTCTTGTCAGTGTCCGGCGGGCTTTGTCAGTTTCACCAACGACGACGGCATGCAGACGTGCGCTCCACGTGAGTCTCTTGCTTTCTATTGTGTCCTTCTGTTCGCACGCACATGCACGCTTCAGCACTATCCTTCCCATGTCTCACATGCACACAGACATGCACACGCACATGCACATGCACATGCACGCTTCAGCACCGGCCTTATCTTGCCTCGTTTTCTGCCGTGTGCCATTGTAACGACGTGATTTTTGAGTCGACTCAAAAGTTACTATGTCTCACATGCACATGCACGTGCACACGCACATGCACGCTTCAGCACCGGCCTTATCTTGCCTTCTTTTCTGCGCCCCTTTCTCACCTCCTCCCTTCCTCCTGTTCCCTTTTCCTTGTCATCCCAGTCGATGCATGTGGCACGCAGGCATCTAACCCGTGCCTCACATGCACACGCACCTTCTTGAGCCGCCTTGGAATGGAAGTATTTTTCACCTCCCCCCTCCCCCTGTTCCCATTCCCTCGCCATCCCAGTGTATGCATGTGGCACACAGGCGTGCAACCCATGCCTCACAGACACATGCACCTTTTTTAGCCGCCTTGGAAGTCTTTCTCACCTCCTCCCTCCCTCCTCCTCCCTCCCTCCTCCCCCCTCCCTCCTCCCCCCTTCCCCCCTTTTTCATCCCAGTGGACGCATGTGGCACGCAGGCGTCCAACCCATGCCTCACAGACACATGCATCAACGACACATTCCGTCCCATGTCTTGTTCCCTGTGCCCTTTTCTCACCTTTCCCCTCCTCACCCGTCTCGCATTCTCCTCCCTTCCATCCCAGTGGATGCATGTGGCACGCAGGCGTCCAACCCATGCCTCACAGGCACTTGCATCAACGACAATGCGGGCGGCTACTTTTGTCTTTGCCCCCCGGGATATGTGAAGGGCAGCCTCACGCTCGGATGGGATACCTGCACGCCCTGTGAGTGGCGCTGGGGCCCGGCTGTTGCATGCGTGCAGATGGGCAAGCGTGCAGATGGGCATGCGTGCAGATGGGCAAGCGTGCAGATGGGCATGCGTGCAGATGGGCATGCGTGCAGATGGGCATGATACCATGTGGCAACACACATAGACACACACTCGGACAGGAGACCTGCACGCCCTGTGAGTGACGCTGGTGCCTGGCTGTGGTATGCGTTCACTTGGGCGGGCGTTCACTTGGGCGGGCGTTCACTTGGGCGTGCGTTCACTTGGGCGGGCTTGTGCATGGGTATGCTTGTGCATGGGTATGCTTGTGCATGGGCATGCTTGTGCATGGGTATGCATACACATGGGTACCCCTGCATGTGGGATACACACACACATGCACACATGCCTCACATGCACATGCACTCTTGTGTACTTACACATGTCTCCCGCCCTTGTGTTCTGCTCCTTCACCTCCTCTTCCACCCACCCACCTGCCCCCACCCTGCTTATCCAGCCTCACTCCTCTCCCTCCACCAAACTCGCCTTCCTGCTTCACATGGACTCGCCTTCCTGCTTCACATGGACTCGCCTTCCTGCTTCACATGGACTCGCCTTCCTGCTTCACATGGACTCGCCTTCCTGCTTCACATGGACTGTTTCTGAGGCGCCTATTTCCGTTTTTTTTTTTTCTCAGTTTTCGTTCAGGCGCCTCAAACGTATTCTCATCCCCCTCCGCCCGCCACACTCGCCTTCCTCCTGGCTCTCATGGACCGCCCCGCTCTGCTCGTCTTCTTCCTTGTTTTCTCCGCCTCCCACTCCCCCACCCGTTAGCCCACCCTGCTGCAGTCTCGTCCCCCCCCCCCCCCCCACCACCACCCCCTCCTTCCCAGTGGACATGAACTGCCCGCTCGTCTTCCCCCTTCCTTTGACCAACTCCAACTCCCCCACCCGTTGTTAACCCCCTTCCACTTTCCCCCCTCCCCACTGCTGCATCCTCGTTCCCCGCCCACCACGCTCACTCCTTGCCTTGCCTCCATGCCCTCCCTCCTCCCGCTCACTCCTTGCCTTGCCTCCATGCCCTCCCTCCTCTCTACCCCACCTCCCTTCAGCCACTAACTCCCCCCACCCACTGCCCGCTAACCCCCTTTCACCTTTCACCTTCCCCCCCCCCCCCCCACTTCGCCAGCCACCGATCCCCCCACAACGCTCACCTTCCCCGTGGACGTGGACTGCCCACAAGTATACCAGCTCTTTCTTTCGCATTCCGCATTCCTGAATTGGCATTCCCCTTCCTTCCCCCCCCCCCCCTTCGCCAGCCACCGATCCCCCCACAACGCTCACCTTCCCCGTGGACGTGGACTGCCCGCTCGTCTACCAGCTCTACGGCCTCACAGAGGAGGCATTCCTCGCTCAGAACTCCGAGCTGGTGAGCTCCCTCTCTTGACGCACGTGAGGCGAGCACTGTTCCACTCGGTTTTGACCCAGTTGAATCGCTTGAATAATGCTCTCTAGTACTTTGGAGGCAACTCCTGACGCTCATACCCTCGCCTCTTCCTCTCTCCCCCTTCTCTCCCCCTTCCCTCCCCCATTCTTCCCTCCCTCCTTCCTCCCTCCCTCCCTCCCTCCCTCCCTCCCTCCCTCCCTCCCTCCCTCCCTCCCTCCCTCCCTCCCTCCCTCCCTCCCTCCCTCCCTCCCTCCCTCCCTCCCTCCTCCAATTCCCCCACTTTCCCCGCCAGTCCTCCCCATGTGCCACCATCCCAGCCAACACCGAAATCAACGTGGCTACCATTCACATGTGCTCCCTCCCCCCCTCCCCTCGCCCTCCTTCTCTCCCCACCCTCTCCCACCAGGCCTCCCCATGCGCCACCATCCCAGCCAACACCGAAGTCAACGTGGCACCCACATCCACCTGCATCGCCTGCAGCCTCTTCTACTCCTGGACCAACGACGACTCCTGCTCGGCTGTAGCGGAACTGTTCGAAATCGACGAGACCGAGTTGACTCGCTTGAATCCCGGGCTCGACTGCTCTGGCAGCGAGTCCTGCCACGCGCCCTCTCCAGGCCAGCAGGTGGGTTGGAAACGGTTGAAAGCAGCTTTAACCGCTTACCGGGAATCAGCAACTTGTAATGTTCGGGTCTTGACTGCTCTGGCAGCGAGTCCTGCCTCGCGCCCTCTCCAGGCCAGCAGGTGGGTCATGTAACGCAAAGAAAAGAAAAGCCACAGCCGTCGTTTGAGATGCCTTGACTTGTCTAGGCTTGATTGATGTGGTCTTGACTTCTCTGGTCTTGACTGCGCTGGACTTCATGTAAGCTGTTGTGCTAAAAGCTAGCTAGTTCACGTAAGGATTTGTACAACAGTTGATTGATATGGTCTTGACTTCTCTGGAATTCATCCATCCCATGTGTGAGCGGTGGGAGGGCGAGTGAGCCAGCATAATCCCATCCCTTCCCCCTTCGTCTTCCCCTTTTCTCAATTCCCCCTCCTCCATTCCCCCTCCCTCACTCACAGTCGCAGATCTGTGTGCGAGAGGGCGATGGGATGGACTACCCTATGTGCTCGTGGCGGGAGGCCGAGCGAGCAGAGCAATCACCCTCCCATCCCTTCCCCTTTCTCCATCCCCCCGTCTCCATCCCCCCTTTCCCCATTCCGCAGATCTGTGTGCGAGAGGGCGATGGGATGGACTACCCGATGTGCTCGTGGTGGGAGGGTGTGAAACCAGGGGACACATGTGCTACTCTCATGCAGCGCTACAACCTGCCCGCACTCTCCTTCTTCTGGATGAACCCGGGCCTCGCGTGTGACAACCTCTTCCCCAACGGCATGGACATCACTGGAGTGCAGGTGACACCTGGGGGAGGTGGTTACTTGTGCCTGCGTGCAGGTAGCAACTGGTATTAGGGAGGGAGGGAGCAGCCACCCTCATGCAGCGCTACAACCTTCCGGCACTCTCCTTCTGGATGAACCCGGGCCTCGCATGTGACAACCTCTTCCCCAACGGCATGGACATCACAGGCGTGCAGGTGACACTTGGAGGAGGTGGTTTCTGGAGTGCAGGTGACACTTGGGGGAGGTGGCTTCTGGAGTGCAGGTGACACTTGGGGGAGGTGGCATCTGGAGTGCAGGCGACATTGGGGGCAGGTGTTTACTGGCGTGCAGGTGACAACCAGGGGAGGTGCTATGCTGGATGGAAGGTGGCTTGCTACTACTGGCGTGCAGGTGATATTGGAGGGAGGTTTCTACTGGTGTGCAGGCAGCTCTTACCGTTTGATCCAGTGCCTTCGGCCCATCCCATTGCGTGTCCCGCACCTAGTCTTTTCTCTCCTCAACCCTGTCACCACACCCCATCTCACTGAACCCCCTCTCACCGCTCTTCATCTCACGGCACCCAAATCCACCCATCTGGCCCCCAGGTGTGCCTCTTCGCATACATCTACATCAGCACCACCAGCGCCAGCTACCGATCCTACTCGCTCACCCAGCCACTCCTCACCCAGCAGCACCGCACCCAGCCGCAGCCCACCGCTCTTCCCCTCCCATCAACACCCCACTCACTGGGAAAGCTCACTCCACAGCAGAGCTCCTCCATACAACATCCCTCACCCCAACAAGGCCTCCTCCATCAATCCCCTTGGAAACGCGTCTGGACAGCAAAGCACCTCACAGGCAAGCCGCCCTTCCAGCTTCCCCCGTGGCAGCAGCCCGCGTGGCAGCAGCGGTGGGCAAGGCTAGTTAAAGCCGGAGTGCTAAGGGTGGGCCGGGCGCCTGTGACGAAGCGGCGGTGCCTGGCGTTCTACTCGGTGACGAGGGGGGACTTCTGTGCGCGCATCATATCGCTCAAGTTCCAGAACAGTGCGCGAAAGATGGCAGAGCTGAACAATGGATACGTGTGCAACAATGACCGGCTGTATGTGGGGTTGAGCCTGTGCACGCGGAGGTAGGAGTGCCTCTGAGGGCTGAATAACGGGTACGTGTGCAGTGCAGCGTTGATGAGCCGATGACCGCCGCTTTTGTGTGAGGCTGAGCCACTGCTGCACGCACTGGTAATAGCGAGGCTTAGCTGGTTTGCAGCGAGATGTTAGCTGGGTATGCACTGCACGCGCCTGCGACGATGACCGCCTTCATGAGGGGCTGGCGGGGCCCTTGCCTTGCACACGCTGCTAGTGAGAGGCTTGCACATGCAGTGTGTTCTGACAGGGCGTGTGCCATGCTGTGCCATGTGCCATGCTGTGCCATGCTGTGCCATGTGCCCCACAGAAAGGCGGTCATCGTTGATTATATGGAGGGGAGGCGTCCGTGGGACAGATGATGGGACAGATGATGGGACAGATGATGGGACAGATGATGGGACATGGGTTTGTTTGAGCAGATGATGGGACATGGGTTTGTTTGAGCAGATGATGGGACATGGGTTTGTTTGAGCAGATGATGGGACATGGGTTTGTTTGAGCAGAGGGTATGTCTGCAGCAGGGCCTACTTCTGGATTCTAGGTACTCTGATTTCCAGAGTAGTTTTTTTCCCAACTCTGAAATCTAGGGTTGTTCATGCGCCTTACTCTGATTTGTCAGAGTAACCCTACACTCTAAAAAATAAAACCTAGGCACGTCAGAGTAATATTTTTCTCTACTCTGATGTTGGTTAAGTTTGCTGTATGAAAGTTTTTGTTACGCCTTTTGTGCTTGCACTATGTTTCATTTCCGCGTCGCCCACGTTTCCCCCCTCAGTGCGTTGTTTCCAAGTGAGGTGTTGGCACCAGGGCTTTTTTTTGGATTTCCAGAGCTGTTTTCTAGGGAACTCTGAAATTCAGGGTTCATTATGAGCGTTATTCTGATTTGTCAAAGAAAACTGCACTTCTGAAAAATTTACTCTGGGCACCCAGTGTACCTATTTTTCCAACTCTGAGTGCCCTCCCAAGTATTGAACCCAGGCCTTCTGCACTCCTACCAAAAAACTGTGCTGAGCGTTGTGCTACGGATCATCATTAGGTTTGCTAACAAACATTATATATTCTTGTTAAGCCACCAATTGGGGGGGCGGGGGGGGGGGGAGGGCCGGTCGAAATGCCTATACCCTGTACAGAGAAAAGTACATCCGCCACAAATATACACTGGTCTCTCAGAGTAGCTAAAATCAGAACCCTGACAAATCAGAGAAAACTTATCCTCCAAAAAAATTACCCAGACACGTCAGAGCAATGTGCTTCGTTCTGTGCTCCAGACGCTGCTCTCGACACAAGGCCAGCATGGCCTTGTTGTCTACGTACAGCACTGGAGGAGAACGAGGCGGCTCTCCAAGGTCAGTCAGCAGGTAGGTGAGCCAGCGAAGCTCCTGTGCAGCCATGGCCCCAGCGTAGATCTCAGCCTCACAACTGGAGCTGAGAACCGAAGACGAGCGAGTAGCCCGCCACGAGACAGAGCCGGAACCAAGACTGAAGGTGTAACCCTGTGACGACCGCTGCGTAGCCTGGTCGTCAGCCCAAGAAGCGTCCGCGTGCCCAGTAAGGACCACTGGACTCCGCCCTCCAAGCACTAGCCCCATGCCCGACGTACTGCACAGGTAGCGCAACACCCTCTTCGCTGCAGCCATGTGCTCTGGTCGGTGTCTCCCAGGAGCAACATAGCGTGCAAGAATGCTCAGAGGGTATGCAAGGTCAGGTCGTGTGCAGGTCATCAGGTACATGAGGCAGCCAACAAGCTCTGGGTACGGGCCACTCGACTCTACGGACTCATCCGAAGGCAGAGCTGAGAGCGAGTGGCGAGTAGACAGAGGAGTGGCCTGAGGCGAGGAGTACGTGAAGCCGAAGCGCTGAAGGACCTGCTGCACCATGTGTGACTGAGTCAAGGTAATGGTGCGGCGTGCTCTGTCCCGAGTGATCTGCAAGCCAAGGTAGCTGCGCAGTTCACCCAGGTCTGTGCACGTGTGTCTCTTCAGCAGCTCGGACTTCACGTAGGCGAGTCCAGTAGTGTCCGCTGTGGCAAAGACCAAGTCGTCGACGTACACGAGGATGTAGAACGGCGGCAGAGAAGTGTCGGTGCGCAGAAACAGCGACGGGTCAGCAGTAGAAGGAGCAAACCCAAGAGCCGCAAGCGTACTCCTCAGTGTGTCGTGCCACTCACGCGGTGCCTGGCGGAGACCGTAGACTGGCCGACGGAGGCTCCACTGGGTGCCAGGAAGGAAAGTCCCAGTGAAGCCAGGTGGACGGCGCAGCCAGATCTCCTCGTGCAGGCTACCCTGCAGGAACGCAGTGCTGAAGTCGAGAGAGTGAAGCTCGTAGTCGCGCTGAGCGGCTATGTGAAGCAGCACCCGAAGAGTGGTCATCTTCGGGGTGGGAGAGAAGGTCTGAAAGTAGTCAACTCCCTGCCGCTGTCTGAAGCCACGAGCAACGTACCGCGCCTTGAAGACAGGTGGAGAGCCCGGCGGCCGCTTCACCCTGAAGATCCACATGCCACTGACGATGTTCGCCCCAGGAGGGGGAACTGCGTCAACGTAGGTGCCTGTGGACTTCCAGGAAGCCATCTCTGCATCCATAGCTGCCTGCCACTGAGACGAGTAGGGACCCTCTACGGCCTCCGCGTAAGAGCGCGGAGTCGGGATGTCTAGTGCATCCGGGTCTCCCTCAGGAGCAAGCAGTACAGACGCGAGATGAGGTGAAGCAGCCGCCAGACACTGTAACTCCTCCTGCCTGTCCTCTAGGACGTCCGTGCCAAGAGCACAGTCACCCCCGACGGACAGAGGACAGTCAGACGCTGACTCAGCAACAAGACTAGCAGCGTAGTCTAGACGACAGCGAGCAGCAAAGTCGACGAGCTCAGCGACAAGGGCACACGCAGCAGTGGACTCAAACGAGGGGTCAGTGACAACAGTAGCAAGGAGACGCGTGACAGTAGGACTGGCAGCACGAAGAGAGTCCGACTCAGGGTCGGCAAGCGCAGGAAGAGAGGACTCAGGAGGAGAAGGCAAAGGGGCACGCAGAGGAGCAGTAGACGGACGCAGAGACATCCGGTGCGTGCCAGGGACAGGAGGAGGACGCTGACGCGAACCGCGACCACTAGTGCGAGCAGCACGAACAGGCGACGCAGGACGAGACGCAGGCTCACGACGCTCAGCAAGACCTCCAGTAGGACCAGTGTAAGGAGAGGGAGCAGGCAGTGGAGAGGAAGGCTCCAACAGGGACTCCGACTGGACAGGCTGTGGACACTCTACCGGAGGAGAAAGACCAAGAACCTGCTGCAGGAGCGGAACGAAGTACGGCCGAGGCCGCGCGGCAACTCCAGACTCAGCAGGGACAGCACCAGCACCCTCAACGACAGCACCAGCGCCACCAACACCTCCAGCGGCAGGACCTCCAGCAGCACCAGTAGCAGAACCACCGCCGGGACAGACAGCAGTAGTCTCAGCACCAACACCCTCAGGAGCTCTTGCTCCAGGAGTACCCGCAGACCCAGCAGCTCCGGGACCGGCAGCACCAGCACCCTCGACGGTCGAAGAAGCTCGAGCTCCAGCAGCACGCCTCCAGCAGCGAGCAAACCACTCGCGCAGCTCCTGTGGAGAGAGGGGCTCCCGGCGAGACGCAGCAGCAGGAGAAACCCCAGGCTCAACAGCTCCAGACGTAGCACCCCCAGGCTCAGCAGCTCCAGACTCAGTACCCCCAGGCTCAGCAGCTCCCGACCCAGCACCCCCAGACCCAGCACCCCCTAGCTCAGCAGCTCCAGGCACCGTACCCCCCGGCTCAGCACCCCCAGGCGCAGCACCCTCCGCAGTAGCACTCCCAGGCCCAGCACCCTCCGCAGTAGCACTCCCAGGCCCAGCACCCCCAGGCTCAGCACCCCCAGTAGCAGCACCTCCAGGCTCGGCACCCCCGCGCACAGCACCCCCAGAGTCAGCACCCCCAGGCTCAGCACCCGCAGCAGCACCAGAGTCACCAGTAACCTCGACCGGGTCAACTGCGTCTACCTGGGACACACCTGAGGGGGCAGGAACCTGAGGGGGGAGGGGGTCTACCGGGGGGGGAACTGGCACAAGGAAGTCCGGCGGAGGGGGAAGGGAAGGAGTGCGGTAGGGGAAGAGGCGGTAGAAGGGGAATGACTCGTCGAACGTGACGTCCTGGGAGGACAGAACACTACGAGAGGAGGGGTGGTAAAACTGCCACCCGGGAGCGTCTGTGGGGAAGCCAAGGAAGACACAGGGAGCAGCACGAGGGGACAGCTTGTCCGCAGACAAGTCGCGGACAAACGCCCGAGATCCCCAGACACGGAACCCCGACGCATCGCCAACCTTCCCCGTCCACAGCAAAGCTGGGGAGGTCTCCAGTCGGGAGACTCTGGGCTGAAGGTTGATCTGATGCGCGGCGTACCGAACCGCAAACGGCCACAGAAAATGGGGGGCAGCCGCATGCACCATGGACGTACGAGCGACGTCCATGACAATGCCGATGCGGCGCTCAGCAATCCCATTCTGCTGTGGAGAGTCCGGAAGCGTGAAGGTCTGGCGGATGCCTCGTGCCCGACAGTAGGCTCGCAGAAGGCCGGAGGAGAACTCTCCGCCTCTGTCCGAATGCAGACGCAGAACAGGAAAGTCCGAGCCGAAGCTCCGCCTGAGCTGGAGACGAGCTGCGCGGATCCAGTCGATCAACACCTCAGTGACCTCACCCTTGCTGCGCAAGGGGAAGACTGTGGTGTAACGCGAGTAGTCGTCAACCACCAGCAGGAAGTAGCGCTCGTGACCCTGTCCACGGACGCGGGCTGGGCCCCACACGTCCATGTGAAGCGTCTGCATCGGGGCCTCCGTCGGAGGGAACGGGGAGGAGTGAGGGGTAGCCCGCAGGCGACCCTCGACACAGGGGACACAGGGAGGGCCAGGCCCCGGAGGAAGGGGAGGGAGGGACCGGGGAAGGCCAGAGACAAGAAGGCGAGAGGCCATGCCCCGGAGACGAGGCAGGGA